GAAGACTAATTTCAGTTACGTTTATATTATCTTGTTTCAAAGCAGTTTGTGTTATCTCATTTGATCATTCTTAGGAACTCACAATTGTCATATATGTGACAGAGAGGCTGAGGGAACAGCATCAAGAACTTGAAGTCATCCTTGGCTACTCAGTGACCAGGTGGCGGTGGCTCACGCATTTAATCCCAGCACTTGGGATTTCACAGAGACAGGTGAATCTCTGAGTTTGAGGCCAGCCTGGTCTACAGAGTGAGTTCCAGGACAGCCAAGGCTACACAGAGAAACCCTTTCTCAAACTAACTAACTAACTAACTAACTAACTAACTAAACCCCCATAACTCCCTAAGCCAAAAATTCTACATAGCAAACAAATGAAGGAACCAGGCTCAATACCTGCCTAATTGCAGATCAGTGTTTCATATTTACTTAATGCTACCACATATACTATATTATACCTAAATGCACATTGCCTGTACATTAGGTTATCATCATTCTAATGTCTTAGAAGGTTTTATTTTTATGTGTGTGTGTGTGCTGTATGTGTGGAAAGATGCATGTGAGTGTCATGCCAGAGAAGGATGGCAGAACCCCTGGAACTGGAGTCACAGGTGGTTGGTTGTGAGTCTTGCAGTGTGTTGCTGGCAACTGAACTCAGGTCCTCTTTGAAGGCAGAATTAGCTCCTAATCGATCAGCCATCTCTCTAGGCCCTGTCACTCTGCTTTGCCTCAAGTCCGTGAAGAAAGTTAAACATATGTTTTTGTCAGGGTTCTTTATTGCGGTGAAGAGACACCATGACCACAGCAACTCTTATAAATAAAAACATTTAATCGAGGGTGTGATACACTTCCTCCAACAAGGCCACATTTCCTAATTGTGTCACTCACTCCCTTTGGGAGCCATTTGCTTTCAAACCCCAGCACAGTTGTGTTGTAGGGAGAGGGCCTGCTTGTTCTTCCTGGCCACCTGGGCTAGCTTAGCCCCAAAATAACCACACAGAAATTGTTTTTTTTAAAATATTTATTTATTATGTATACAATATTCTGTCTGTATGTCTGCAGGCCAGAAGAGGGCACCAGATCTCATTACAGATGGTTGTGAGCCACCATGTGGTTGCTGGGAATTGAACTCAGGACCTTTGGAAGAGCAGGCAATGCTCTTAAACACTGAGTCATCTCTCGAGCCCCTTCCGATTTTTATTTATTTATTTAGTTTTGTTTTGTTTTTCGAGACAGGGTTTCGCTGTAGTTTTTAGAACCTATCCTGGAACTAGCTCTTGTAGACTAGGCTGGCCTCGAACTCACAGAGATCTGCCTGCCTCTGCCTCCCAAGTGCTAGGATTTAAGGCGTCCACACAGAAATTGTATTAATTAAATCACTGCTTGTCCCGTTATCTCTAGCCTCTTATTGGCTAACTCTCACATCTTGATTTAACCCTTTTCTATTAATCTGTATATCGCTACGTGGCAATGGCTTATGGGAAAAGATTCAGCACGTCTGTCTCTGGCAGCTCCATGGCCTCTCTCTCCTACTCTGCCTCTCTTCCTCCCAGCATTCAGTTCTGTCTTCCCTGCTTACCTAATTTCCGCCCTGCCAGCTAGGCCAAGGCAGTTTCTTTATTCATCAACCAATGGAAGCAACACACAAACAGAAGGAACTCCTACACCATAGTTTGCTTTATTATTCCAATTCCATGATTCCTGTTCTAGAAGCTCTAACTGTAGAGAGAATTATCTTTGTGGAGGTGTTTTTTACTCCTGGAATTCACCCCCTTTCTAACACTATCTGCTAAATGTAAGAAACAAACAAGTACAAAGATAATGATATGGGCTTTGCCTTTGAAGAACTCAAAATTTAATTGTGTTTAGCCATTCATTAAGAAAACGGAAGACAAAATGGGGTAAGTACCACTATAGAATTTGTTCCCGGCAGATAAGGGGGTACTTCTGAACAAAGCATGGAGCCTCAAATCTAAATAAGAGTTAATGATCTAGGCTGGGGAAATGGCTCAGAGGGAAAAGTATATGCTACACAATCCTGCAGACCCTACCTCGGTTCCCAGTGGCTATGTAGAAAACCTATTTCAGTGGTATGATGCAAGGCAGAAACAGGAGGATCCTAGGGGACCAGCCAGAGGACCCAGGTTCAATATGCAAACACCCACAAGACAGCTCACAACCAACTATCCAGTTTCAGTGGCTCAAGTGCCCTCTTCTGGCCTTCAGAGGCAGTAGATATGCCAACTGTTGCACAAACGTACCTGCTGTTCTTCCAGAGGACCCAGATTCAATTCCCAGCAACCATACGGCAGCTCACAGCTGTCTATAACTTTAGTTCCAGGGGATCTGACACTAGCACACAGCACTAATAAAATAAATATTTTTTAAAAAAAGTGCAACTAGAAATGGGATTGAGTTAAAAAAAAATCAGAGTTGTATCCTGTACAGTTAGTTGTTTTAAAATAACTGCTCTGAGCCGGGCGGTAGTGGCGTAGGCCTTTAATTCCAGCACTCGGGAGGCAGAGGCAGGCGGATCTCTGTGAGTTCGAGGCCAGCCTGGTCTACAAGAGCTAGTTCCAGGACAGGAACCAAAAACTACGGAGAAACCCAGTCTTGAAAAATCCAAAAAAACAAAACAAAACACAAAAAAACAAAAACAAAAAAACTGCTCTGAATTAAAGGCATTCCAAATTTTTCATATTTGTTATCTGTTTTAAGGAAAATGAGGCAGACAGACTCTATCTCGACAGATTGAAACTGCATTATTGGAACAGTGAGGGGCTCCAATCTTTCCTGTGTGATGAAGGCTGGGTACATTTAGAGGGGCTGGGGGACATGCACATATATACACACACCTGTAGCAAACTATCAGTAAGTTACAACTTTTTTTGTGGTTTGACAGGACCTGGGTGGATTGCTTAACAGCGAGGCATATTGTTCCTGTAGTTGGAGCCAAATGGTCAGTCTATGCCAAGCAATTTTCTATGGCTAGGGGCTATTGCCCTATGTAGCATGACTCAATTTCTCATGACCCCAGGCTATGCATTGTTTGTAGGAAACAAATGATCAGTTTTAAAGTTTATTTATTTATTTATTTATTTATTTATTTATTGTCTTCTTGAGACAGGGTTTCTGTGTTGCTTTGAAGCCTGTCCTGGAACTAACTAGCTCTTGTACACCAGGCTGGCCTCGAACTCGCAGAGATCCGCCTGCCTCTGCCTCCCGAGTGCTGGGATTAAAGGTGTGTGCTACCACTGCCCAGTTTAAAGTTTATTTTTAATCATGTGTACATGTATACCACATCTCTGTGTGAATGCATATGAGTCCAAGTGCCCAGAGAGGCCAGAAGAAGGTGTCAGAGTCTCTTGAGTGACAAGTGGTTGTTAGACACTTTATGTGTGTGCAGGGTACTAAACTCGGGTCCTCTGGAAGAGCAATACGTTTTTTTAATGGCTGGTCCATCTCTATTGCCTTCCTTCCTTCCTTCCTTCCTTCCTTCCTTCCTATTATGCTCTTTTGAGACAGGCTCTCCCTTAATGCAGACGCAGCTCTCACCCAATGGGGATAAGATAGGAAGGTTTGTTTTGGAACCAAACAGAGTGACCATGGCTTGAGAATAAAGATTCAGGTCACCTCGAATTCCATGCTCCAGTGTGGTAGCAGTCCCATTATATAGTACCAGAACAAAGAAAATTATAAAGACCAGGGTGGCCAGCACCTCAAGAGACCTACCTACCTGCCTCAGTCTCCCCAGTGTTGAGATTAAAGGCCTGGGCCGCCACACCTGTCATTAACGAACTTCGCGAATACATTAGGTGTGTGGGCATAGAAAAGTGAGGAAATCATAGCTAATGGGCATCTTAGGAACTTCTGAGGCCTTCTTAGAAGCCTTTTGGTTGGTGTTAGCTAGGTGTCTAGACATTCCAAAAGATAGGCTTAATAGTTACAAAGATGTTGGGTCACTTACAGAGCTGGGTACTAAATAGCTATCTGGGAGCTATCTAGGCTCAAGACAATTTCAAGTGTCTGGACTTGAAATATTCCAACCTCTCCACAGTACAGAAATTCTAGCTAATCAAGTATCAGCCTTTGTAGTCAGAGCTTGTTTCCGGAAACTCACGCTTATCTGGATCTCACATTCCGGAAGCTCAGGTGCAGGACCCTCCTTATCTATCCCAGCCATCTAAAGCCTGGGATTTCAGACGGGAACCACAACACCTGGCTTTAAAATTTAAAAACAAACAAAATCCAGACTGGTTCCCATTAGTAGTATATCTGGACAGCCACTTTCAGTTCTTTTGTGGAAATCAAACCAAGGTCCTTGGTCATTCCCGGGCTGTGCTTTGAGCCACTGAGATGAGTCCCTATACCCTGGAAAGTCTTTATCTTTTTACTCATCTAGACATAGAGTAGACTGAGTGTGGTCTCTTCACAGACTGCGTGACTTGGATAAGTCACCCCCAAACCCTCCTCTATTTTGCCTTTAAAAATATATAGGGGGGCTGGAGAGATGGCTCAGAGGGTAAGAGCACTGACTGTTCTTCCAGAGGTCCTGAGTTCAGTTCCCAGCAACCATATGGTGTCTCACGGCCATCTGTAATGAGATCTGGTGCCCTCTTCTGGCCAGCAAGCATACATACAGACAGAACACTGTATACATAATAAATAAATATTTAAAAAAAATATATAGGATTTTTTATGTGTGCGTGTTTTGCCTGCATCTGTGTGGAGCACAAACGTGTCTCGTGCCTGCATAGGTCAGAAGAGAGCGTCACATCCCTTTGTGAGCCACCACGTGGGTGCTGGGAACCAAACCTAAGTATTCTGCAAACACAGCAAGTAAATCAACTCCTGGGCGGTCTCTCCAGACCCTCTTTGGCTTTAATGAAAAGACTGGGCCTACGATTTCCTAATAAGAACCACTCAGCATTGAACGGTCTCAGTTCCTCGGGGACAGAGACTTTCGGGCGGCACCAACGGCTGCTTCCAGGAGGTCTGCGGCAGGGAGGAGCCGGCAGGTGGCCAGGCTCACCGTGCACCGCAGAGGCGCAGGCCCTCTTAGGCGGGCTCTGGCACTCCTGCCAGCCGGGCTGCTTTGCGCAGGCGCGGCCGCAGCGCGACGTCCCTCACTTACGGCCGAAGCGGTTCGCGCTGGGAGTCGGTGGCGCCGTGCAGGGCACTTAGGAACCGACAGCATTGGCGCGGGTAATCAGCTCCCTGACCTACTCCTCCCACTGATAGATCCTCGGGACGACCTCCGAGCTTCGCGATGCGACGCGGACGGCCAGTCCGTGAACCGTCCCAGCCCGCGCGTCTGCTGCCCGCGGGGGTGAGGGGCGGGGTCCCGGGCTGGGCTACACCGCATCCTGGCGTCTTCCACTTGAAATCTCCCGGGTAACTAACTCGCGGCTCTTCTTGTTTTGCAAGACTGGTATCCGGTTGACTGCGGTTTGCAGGGTCCGCCATGGAGTCAGAGCAGATGCTGGAGGGACAGACGCAGGTACCAGGAGGCCCTTGGATTCAGAGTAGCTGTGTGCAGGGAGGCAGCGCCGAACGGGCGGATGTCTCTGTGACTCTATTTTGTTTTTTAGGTTGCAGAAAACCCTCACTCCGAGTACGGTCTTACGGACAACGTTGAGGTAACTCGCCCAGTTCCTCTGCCGCCTCTGTGGGTCTCTTGAGAGCCGGAGAAAATTTAGGATCCGTTTACTAGGCTACTCTGCACGAGGGAACACTTGGCTGCCGTGATCTCCGTAGGATCAGATTATAAGCGGTTTCTTTTTCTAGCATGCCAATACTTGCCTAAAAATAAAGGTACTTTGTAAATGAATGACCAAATCCCGGAACCAGAGCTGGGTAGGTTTGGTTAGGAAAATAGAGGCTTCCTGGAGAAAATTTGTGTGTGAATAGGAGACTTGCGGGATTAAGTTTGGACTTAAAAAAAAAAAAAAGTAGGAGCGTTTCTAAGCATTTGTTGTAGAAACAGGTGTTAATATTTATTCAACGCTTTGCTGTTTGTGTGATATACACCCGACCAATTTGGATATATCTTTAGCCCCAGAATGCTTAAAGTTCAGTAGCTTGGTAACTTGTTCCAGGTCACTAGCAAGTAAGCTTAGAGTTGTTTTCTATATTTTTTATTCTCTCTCTCTCTCTCTCTCTCTCTCTCTCTCTCTCTCTGTATGTGTGTATGTGTAAGTCAGAGGGCAACCTTACACAGAGTCGGTTTTCTCCTTTCACCCTTAGGTGGGGGTTCTAGAGATGGAACTCAGGTCATCAGGCTTGGATGTAGCAAACCTTACCCACTGAGCCATTTTACCTAGAGTTTGTATTTCAATGTTGACGGGCTGACATTTTTTTTTCTTTTGTTTTTTTTCGAAACAGGGTTTTTCTGTGGTTTTGGAGCCTGTCCTGGAACTAGCTCTTGTAGACTGGCTGGTCTCGAACTCACAGAGATCCGCCTGCCTCTGCCTCCCGAGTGCTGGGATTAAAGGTGCGCCACCACCGCTCGGCTTGACATTTTTTTTTTTTGACTAAAGAATTGCATTGTATTTATGTGTGCGTGCTCTCTCTTCCTCTCTCAGTGTATATGTATATCTCTCTCCCTCTCTCAATGTATATGTATATATGTTTCTTTTCTTTGTTTCTTTGTTTTTGGAGATAGGTTTTCACTATGTAGCTCTGACTGTCTGGAACTCACTATGTAAATCAGGCTGGTCTTGAGTTCAGAGATCCACCTACACATCTACATCCTGAGTGTTGGGATTAAAGGCATGTGACATCATGCCTGGTTTATGTATTTTTTTTTAATACTTTATTTTATGTATGTGAGTCGTTTACCTGGGTAGTTGTTTTTCATAAGGAGATGATGGCAGATCTCCTGAAACTTGAATTACAGAAAGCTACCATGTGTGTGATGGGAATTGAATCAGGGTCTTCTGCAAGAGTGACTGGTTCTCTCTCTCTGTTTTTTGAGACAGGGTTTCTCTGTGTTGCCCTGGCTGCCCTAGACCAGGCTGGCCTCAAACTCAGAGACTCGCTTGCCTCTTCTCCCGAGTGCTGGGATTAAAGGTGTGCACCACCACTGCCCAGCTAGTTCTCACATTTTTTTGCTTCATGTTTGACAGTGTTCTCTGAGCCTTAGTGGGAGTTCTAGAAGTTCCATTTAGGGCTGAGTACTAGCACTTTAACCAGTTCTGAGTCTTCATTTCTCGCTGACCCCTACAAAAAGCGGTGCCTCTGGCCAAGGCTGAGAGCTGCACTAATCTGTGGGTAGAAACAGAAATATTTACACAGTTTAACAACATGACTTTTTAGAAAAACAACAGTAGTAGGTGACTCGCTAGGGCTGTGGCCTCCAGAGTGATATAGGCTTTTGGCCAGGTTTATGTACCAAGCAGGCATGTGGAGTAGGCCACACATCCAGTCAGAAAGCAGTAGGTTACCCCCATATACCATCATACCACTTTAACATTATTGGCTAAGTCTTGCCTGACAGACTTATTGTGGCTTACGGCTCACTGCTGGGATAAACTGATTTATTTTTATGTTTTTAAATAAATAAATATTTATTGTTTTTATGTCCATTGGTGATTTGCCATGGGTGTTGGGTCCCCTGGAACTGGAATTATAGACATTTGTGAGCTGCCATGTGGGTGCTGGGAATCAAACTTGGGACCTCTGGAAGAACAGTCAGTGCTCTTAACTGCTGAGGCATCTCTCCAGCCCTAAACTGATTTGTTTTGTTTTTAATGGCCTTGTCAGTCTATGGTGTATGTGTGTGTGTGTGTGTGTGTGTGTGTATATATATATATATATATATATATATATATATAATTTATTTGTATCTTGTTTGTTTGTTTTGGGATTTTTGAGATAGTTTCAAAATTGTCCTGGCTATCCTGTAACTTGCTATGTGGACTGTCTGTGATGGCTTTGGACTCTGAGGTCTGCTGCCTCTACCTCCTAGTGCTGGGACTAAAGGTGTATGCCACCATGCCTGACAATATATGTTGTGTCTTGATCTGTTTTGTAGGTTGATTTTTCTTTGTTATAGATGTTTTATTTCTTTTTTTAACCTAGTAATTTCTTTCTTAAAACATTACTATTTTTTAAAGATTTATTTATTTTTTTTTATGTGTGTGTATGCCATATGTGTATTGGTACCCCTGAGGCCAGAAGAAAGTGTCAAATCACCTGGAGCTGGAGTTTCAGGTGGTTGTGGGCTTTCTGATTGGAGTGTTGGTAACTGAACTTAGAGCCGGGTGGTGGTGGCGCACGTCTTTAATCCCAGCACTCGGGAGGCAGAGGCAGGCGGATCTCTGTGAGTTCAAGGACAGCCTGGTCTAGAAGAGCTAGTTCCAGAACAGGAACCAAAAAGCTAAGGAGAAACCCTGTCTCAAATCAAAAAAAAAAAAAAAAAAAGCAAGAAGTAGGGGCTGGAAAGATAACTCAGGGGCTAAGAACACTGACCCCTCTTTCAGAGAACCCGGGTTCAATTCTCAACACCCACATGGCGGCTCACAACTGTCTGTAATTCCAGTTCCAGGGGACTTGATACCCATGGCAAAACACCAATGCACATAAAAATAAATAAATACATAAATAAAACATATTAAGAGCAGGAAATGCACCTTTTTTTTCCCCAAGATTTTTCAGGCTGAGTGTGGTGGCACACATATTTAGAATTCTCAGCTCTGAGCTGGAAGTGGGAGCCGGGAGCTACAAGTCTTTCATCCCAGCACTCTGGAGGCAGAGGCAGGTGCATCTCTTGTGAGATCAGCCTGGTCTGCATAGTGAATTCCAGGACAGGACAACCAGGGCTGTTACACAGAGAAACCTGTCTTGAAAAACCAAAAAAAAAAAAAAAAAAAAAAAAGCACCAAAAGGAAAAGAATCTCCCGTTTTAGGGAGGTAGAGGCAGGTGGATCTCTTGAGTTCTAGGTCAGCCAAGGGTATAAAATAGAGATATTCTCTCTCTCTCTCTCTCTAAAGAATCTCCAGTTCTAAGGAGGTAGAGGTAGGTGGATCTCTGGTTTCCAGGACTGCAAAGGGTATAAAACAGAGATAATCTCTCTCTCTCAAAGGGTATAAAATAGAGCTAGTCTTTCTCTTTCTCTCTGTCTCTCTCTCACACACACACACACATGCACGTGCACTTACAGCTTAACCAAAAGTAACTTGGGGAGGGAAGGGTTTATTTCATCCTACCACTGTAATCAGTCCATCATCCAGAGAAGTCAGGGTAGGAACTGATGCAGAGGCCATGGAGGGATGCTACTTACCGGCTTGCTCAGCCTGCTCATAGCACCTAGGATCAGCAGCCCAGGAGTGGCATCATCCGTCATGGGTTTGGTCCTCATATCAATCACTAATCCAAAAGGAAAAAAAAAAGCCTCCCAGACTTGCCTATGAGCCAGTCTGGTTGGGAATTTTCTCAAATGATACTCTACTAGTCTGTGTCAAGTTGACATAAAAGCTAGCCAGCACTGTGCATGAGTGCTGTGCCTGCATGTATGTGTGTGTCCTGCAGGCGTGTTTGATGCCTATAGAGGGTAGAAGAAGGTCCAGGTCCTCTGGAACTGCTTGTGAGCCACTGTGCCGGTCCTCTGTAAGAGCAGCCAGTGCTCTCAACCAACCACAGAGCCTCTGTTATTATTGTTGTTTGTATGTGTTTGGAGTTGATTCTTCCTACCTCTACATGTGTTCTGGGGTTTGCCACACTAAGTGCCTTTCCCTACTGAATCATCTCATTGGTCTTGCCCAGGAATAGTTCTTTTTCATTTCTTTTTTTTGGGGGGGAGGGGGGAGACAGAGTCTCACTATGTATGGAGACTTGACTGTCCTTCGTTTGCTCTGTAGCCCAGTCTGATCTTGAGTCCTTCTGCCTCTGCTTCCTACCTGCTGGGAGAAAAGGCATGTGCCACCATGCCTGCCCTCACTGCCTACTGATTTCTTTTTTTTTCTTTTTTATTTATTTATTTATTTATTTTGTATACAATATTCTGTCTGTATGCCTTTAGGCCAGAGGAGGGCGCCAGATCTCATTACAGATGGTTGTGAGCCACCATGTGGTTGCTGGGAATTGAACTCAGGACCTTTGGAAGAGCAGGCAATGCTCTTAACCACTGAGCCATCTCTCCAGCCCCTGCCTACTGATTTCTTAATACTCTGCTGGGAACTGTGAATTTTACTTTGTAGAGTATTAGATATTTTGGTATATCTTCAAACATTCTTGAATATTGACTTTTTTTAAAAATATTTATTTATTTATTATATTATGTGTATAGCATTCCTTCCACGTGTGCCTGCAAGCCAGAAAGGGGCGCCAGGTCTCATTATAGATGGCTGTAAGCCACCATGTGGTTGCTGGGAATTGAACTCAGGACCTCTGGAAGAGCAGTCAGAGCTCTTAACCTCTGAGCCATCTCTCCAGCCCCGAATATTGACTTTTCAAGGCTTGCTTCAACCTTTGTCAGGTAGGGTCAGACTAGCAGGCTTTAAGTCCAATTTCATCATCTTGAGTATTCTATCTAATGTTCCATGTATTTTTTTTTTTTTTTGGTTTTTCGAGACAGGGTTTCTCTGTGGTTTTGGAGCCTGTCCTGGAACTAGCTCTTGTAGACCAGACTGGTCTCGAACTCACAGAGATCCGCCTGCCTCTGCCTCCCGAGTGCTGGGATTAAAGGCGTGCGCCACCACCACCCGGCTTGTTCCACGTATTTTTGAGGGTCTGCTGCTCTATACCATTGGACCACCAAATGTTCCCAGAGTGTGTGAGCTGTGTAAATGTCCTTGTTTCTTCCAGGTGGTTTTCTTCAGGTCTCTGGCAGCTGTATTCATCTAGATGCTAAAGCAGCCTCACTGGTTGGTTTCTGCGCGCCTCTATGTCCCTCTTGCTTGTGCAGCTTTCTCCTTGTAGTGCCCTGCCTCGCGAATAGGAGCTGTTTTGGTTTCTCACAATTTCCAACATTTGTCTTCTCAATTCGGGGCGACTGCCAGACTCTGCTTAGTTCCTCTTTGATGCTGCTGCATCCTGTGAGTTTTCTTAGTAGCAAGCAGGGAGCAATCGTAGGGTTTACCTCAGTTATGCCCCCTTTTCGTTGTAGTTTACTGTAAACCCTTCCAGACAGGGTTTCTCTTTGTATCCTTGGCTGTATCCTGGAGCTAGCTCTGTAGACCAGGCTGGCCTTGAACACACAGAGAACTGCCTGCCTCTGCAGTGCTGGGATCACTGGCATGCACTGCCCCTGTAATAATTCTTTTTATTTTTGACTGTAAACTTGACCTCACTCTCTGTTCTTTTTGTCACTGTAGTGCACTATGATCTTTCTGTCTTTGTGTTTGGTGGTCTATCTGTATTGTGTATATTTAATCCGTGATAATTGACTGCCCCTTTTCCTGATGTGACAAACTATCCTGACAAAAGCAACTTCAGTACAGAAGGATTTACCTTGGTTCGTAGTCTTGGGGTTCAGTGCATTATGTAGGGAGAGTCAAAATGGGGTGCTTGAAGTAGCTGGTCATCTATGTCCACAGTCAGAAGAGCGCAGCAAAGGCTCCCACCCAGCTAGGTTTCACCTGAAGCAGCCAGCAGTCCAGGACTGAAGCTGTGTGAAGGTTGCTACCTCGCCCTCCTTAGCCTCAGAAAAATAGTCCCCGCATGCATGCCTAGAGAATGACTTAATCTAGATGATCCCTTCCAGGTGCTCGGCGTCCTATTTCTTACTTGATTCTAGACCACGTCAAGTTGGTGGCCAATATTGTCTGGCACATTGACTTCTTAACTTAAGCATAGCAATTGACACGTCGTAAGCGCTCCGTCAGTGCTTGAGTGAAGTTAGTTACGGGCAGTATATAGGAATTGTTTATTTTGGTGATGATTTATTTAAAAAGTTTTAGTTGTATGTATGTATATGTGCCTGTAGAGGGGTTGGGCCCTCCAGGGACTGGAATAACAGACATTGTGAGCCTGTGAGCCGCCTGATGTGGGTGTTGGGGTTCAATTCTAGTCCTCTGAAAGAGGAGTACTCACTCTTTGCTGAGACAGGGTTTCTCTGTCCTGGAACTCACTTTGTAGATCAGGTTGGCCTCAGACTCACAGACATCTGCCTCTGGCTCTCAGTGCTGAGACTGAAGGTGTGTGCCCCCACTGCCCTGCTCCTTAGTACCAAGTCATTTCTCCAGCCCTCTTAAACTGTATTTTACATTTTTTTTTGAGATAGTTTCTCTATGTATCCTTGGCTGTGCTGGAATTCATTGAGATCTGCTTGTTTCTGCCTCCTGAAGGGAGGGCACCCCAGCTCAGTGCCCCACTTTAAAAGATAGTTACTTGTAGCTCAGGCTGGGTTTGAACTTGCTATGTAGCCGAGTATGATCTTGAATTCCTGATCTTTTTGCTTCTACCTACCAAGTGCTGGGGTCACGGGTATATACTACCATACCATACTACCATACCCAGTTAATGCAGGGACTGAACCCAGGACTTCATGCATGTATATAATCTCCCTAGAATTGCTGTTTCTTATTGGAGACATTGTAATAGCATGTAATTTAATACACAAATACTCTGCTAAGTTAGGACTGTGAGCCATGCTGTGATGGTGCACACCTTTAAACCCAGTACTCAGGAGGCAGAGAGGCAGGCGGATCTCTGTGAGTTCGACACCAGCCTGGTCCATAGGACAGGCTCCAGAGTCACAGGGAACACTGTCTTGAAAAGCAAAAAAAAAAAAAAGGATAGTGTTCTTTACTAGAATTAAGAAGAATTTGTTGGGCTGGAGAGATGACTCAGCGATTAAGAGTGCCCAGTTTGAATTCCCAGCACCCACAGGGCAGCTCATAACTGCCTGTAACTCCAGTTTCAGGTGATCTGACACTTCACACATGTATACATGCAGGCAGGCAAAACATGAATACACATGAAATAAAAGTAAATTTTTTTTTAGATTGATTTATTTATTAAGGACAGTGTTCTGCCTGCATGCATACCTACACTCCAGAAGAGGGTGCTAGATCTCATTATAGATGATAGTGAACCACTATGTTGTTGCTGGGAATTGAACTCAGAACCTCTGGAAGAACAGTCAGTGCTTTTAACCGCTGAGCCATCTCTCCAGCCTCATAGATTTATTTATTTATTATGTATATAATATTCTGCCTGCATGTTTGCCTGCAGGGCAGAAGAGGGCACCAGATCTCATTATAGATGGTTGTGAGGCAACATGTGGGTGCTGGGGATTGAACTCAGGACCTCTGGAAAAGTAGTCAGTGTTCTTAACCTCTGATCCATCTCTCCATCCCCCTAAAGTAGATTATTTAAGAAAAAAGAATTTATTGCTTGGTGTTGGTGGCACATTCCTTTAATCCCAGCACTCAAGAAGCAGGCAGATCTCTGCTAGTTCTAGGCCAGCCTGCTCTATAGAGTGAGTTCCAGGAGAAACCCTGTCTGGGAAAACCATAAAATTAGGGGTTGGGGCTGGTGAGTTGGCAAGTGTTTTTGCAGCAGACTGAGGTTGGATTTCCAGCACTGTCACAGCAACTTCACCCTATGTATAATTCCAGTTCCGGGTGCCCGATGCCCCCCTCTGGCCTTCTTGGGCATATGATTTACATAAATCTATGTAGGCAAAACACTAATGCCCATGAAATAATAAAAACAGGAATTTAAGCCGGGCAGTGGTGGCGCACGCCTTTAATCCCAGCACTCGGGAGGCAGAGGCAGGCGGATCTCTGTGAGTTCGAGACCAGCCTGGTCTACAAGAGCTAGTTCCAGAACAGGCTCCAAAACCACAGAGAAACCCTTTCTCGAAAAACCAAAAAAAAAAAAAAAAAAAACAAAAAAACCCCAGGAATTTAGGGATTGGCTTTAATTTCTTTTGGTGAAGAGGTTTGCCGTCTGGTGTATTCTAGTCAGGATTTGCTTTCCTTTGAGTGTGTTTTTCGCATTAGTTTTTGTTTTGCTCTCAAAATAATCTTGTACTTTGAGATATTTATTTATTTATTTATTTTTACAACACTAGAGGATAGTCGAAAATGAGAAGATTAATGCAGAAAAGTCATCAAAACAGAAGGTGGATCTACAGTCTTTGCCAACCCGTGCCTACCTGGACCAGACAGTCGTGCCTATCTTATTACAGGGTCTTGCTGTGCTTGCAAAGGAAAGGTGAGATAATACCGTCTGACTGGAGATAGAATGTGGGGTTCCTGTGCCCAGATACCGCTAGTTATGTATGGTGGTTCTTTGCTGTAGAGTTTGTGTGCAGTGATGTCACGCGTATTTTATTTTAGAATACATTTATATATGGTGTGTGTGTGTGTGGATCTTGAGAATTAAACTCAGGTCATCAGACTTAGTATCAAGCACCTTTACCTGCTGAATCATCTTACTGGCCCTATTGCTGTTAAACTTTCATTTTATTTACTTATTTTTTCTTTGTTTCTTTCTTTCTTTCTTTTTTTTCCAAGATGGGTTTCTCTGTGTAACCTTAGCTGTCCTGGAACTCGCTCTGTAAACCAGGCTGGCCTCGAACTTGGATTGCCTCCCCAAAATTTTGATTTTTAAAAAATGATTTATTTATTAATTTTATGTGTGTGGGTATTTTATATGGGTGTATGTCTGTGCACCATGTGGGCCAGAAGAGGATATTGCATGGAGATTGGAATTACACAGATGATTGTGGGTCACATGTGGGTGGATGCTGGGACTTGGACTCATGTATACAGACTTGGAATCATAGGCTGCAGGTAATATTATAAAGTTTTTACTTAAGGATAACATTGTTCTAGGTTGTCTTCATTGACACACATACATATCTCAGAGATCTGCCTGCCTCTACCTCCAGAGTACTGGGGTTGAAGTGTGCCACCACGGCTTAGCTAATGCTTATAATTAAAATTACAAAAATACCACAGTAACTTAGCCACTTTACCATTGCTTTTTTTTTTTGACGGGCAGCCTAGGCTGACTTTGAACTCACTACATAGCCAAGAATGTCCTTGAACTTTCAACCCAGTGCTTGGGTTGTGGGAAGTATGATACCACATTTCCAGATCTTGTTTTTGTGATTGAGTCTAAAGCATGATTACTCTGCCTGCTTATCTATATTCCTGTTTTTTTTTTTTTTTGAGACAGTCTCAAATAGCTCAGGCTGACCTTGAACTCTGTCTGATCTGATCCTTTTGCCTCTAGTGCCTACCTGCTAGATTTGCAGTTAGGTTTCACCCAGATCCATTGCCCATTACCCTTTGTCACTATAGTTTATCTATTTGAAACCTTTTTGCCTGTGCTTGCTTATTGTTTTTAGTGACAATCAAGAATTGATTTTCTAGTTTTATGGAGTTTGACTTTATATAGTATTTGACATATTGTGGTATTTGCTGTAATTTGTATTTCTGTCCAATAATTTGTTCCTTAAGTTTTTTCCCGGTGTCAGTGTTGTCTCAAGTATAGGATTATTATAGTCTCCTTGGTTGTGCCTGGACTTCAAACTGGGGACCCTGCTCATGAAAGGCAAGCACTCCACTATCAGGCTAGGTTACCAGCTGGTTTCAAAGGGCTCTTTTTGCCAGTACACTTGCTCATCAGCAGTAACTTCTCCCTTCGGGAGCAGTTCTCTTATTTCTAGATGCATTGCTATAATCCTTACAGGAAATCTTTTTTTGTGTTTTGTTTTATTTTTAGTTTTTAGCAGTTCATCGCCTTAACCACTTTGCCACCTTGTCCCTATTTTTATTTTTATTATTTTATTTTATTGTTTTTGGCTTTTCGAGACAGGATTTCTCTGTAGCTTTGGAGCCTGTCCTGGAACTAGCTCTGTAGACCAGGCTGGCCTCGAACTCACAGAGTTCTACCTGCCTCTGCCTCCCGAGTGCTGGGATTAAAGGTGTGTGCCACCACTGCCCGCCCTCCCTATTTTTATTTTTTAATATGTGTGTTTTCACCTGCATATGTGTGTGTGTATGTGCGCGCGTGTGCGTGCACCACATGGGTGTCTGGTTTTCACAGAAGCCAGAAAACGGCATGGGATCCCTTGCAATTGGAGTTACCCTGTTTGCTAGGCAACAGTGGGTGCTAGGAATTGAACCTCAGTTCTCTGAAAGAGCAGCCAGTGTCCTTTTAACCACTCATCTTTGGGTCATCTCTCTAGCCCATCTTTTTTTCTCAAGGAGGGTCTTATGTAGCTCCTGCTGACTTTGGATTAGTTATGTAGCTGAGGAAGGCTATGGACTCATTTGCATACTCTGTGTCCCAAGTACTGGAATTACAGATGTGAGCCATCATACCGAGCTTCTAATTTCTTTTTTGTGTAAACAAATAAGGAAATTTGTTTTGTAAACTAGTTTCTATTAGGTGTGTGCTGTGTTTTAACTCTAGGACAGTAATAATTGCTGTAGTAAATGGATATAAGTTAGTAACATAGATTAGTTAAATTTTATTATATTTTAGTTGTGTGTGCGAGTGTGTATGTCTGCTTGTGTGTACGCTAGGGTGTGTGCTTGTGTATATGTGCAGCACATGCATGTTTGTATGCCTGAGTGTGAGTGTGGAGGTCAGAGGACAACTTTGAGGAGTTGGTTTTTTTCTTTTTACACATGGGTTATGAGCTTGTCTGGCTTGGTGGCAGGGGTCTTCCCTGATAAGCCATCCTCATGGCCAAGATTGATACATTAGTTTATTTAAAAGTTATGTGTCCTGGTTGTGGTGGCACACACCTCCAGTCCCATCACACTGGCAAAGACTGGCAGGTCTCTAGATGGTTGAGGTTCAGGCCAGTCAGGGTACTGTTGTGAGACACTGTCTTTAAGAACAAGAATGGGCTGGCGAGATGACTTGGCACTCACTGCTATTGGAGAGGACCTGTGTTTGTTTCTTAACACCTACATGGAGGCTCCTAGCCATCTGTCACTCTGGATCCAGGGCATCTGACGCCCTCTTCTGGCGTCTGTGGGCATAAACATACATGTAGGCAAAACACCTATACATGCTTAAAAGAAACACACACACACACACGCTGTCCATTAGAGCATGTGCTTGGAATACAGGCTGTTACTGACTAAATGAATACAACAAATACTTGTCTTTTGCTTTTGCTTGGTTATTTATAAGATAAGATTTATTTATGACTGAATATATCTTGACTCTGCTGTTGATGACTGGAATGTGGCTGGGCTGGAGTAAGAGCTTATTGGTAGGGTGTTGCCCTGGTGTGCCTGAGGTCCCAGGTTCAGTCCCCAGCACCATCCCAAAAAGGTAATCTTTTACTTTTTCATTTTTTTCCAAAGAAGGCTGGTATGTTAGAAATTCCATATATTCTAAATTTTAAATCACTATTATTGTTTTATTGGGACAGGGTCTCAAGTAGCCTAAATTGGTTTCAAACTTCCTTTGTAACTTGGATGACCTTGAACTGATGATCCACCTCTGCGTCCTGACCTCTGCCCGATTGCTTGGATTATAGGTGTGCACAACTGTGCCTGATTAAAATTCTAAATACTACTATTAAATGCTAAAAGAAAAAACTAGGACGATTTTTTTTTAACTAGTAATATGTTTTTAAATAGAATTCTTAGGCAAAGAATTTTTATAAAATCAGTCATTAGGTTAACCTAATTATTTGGTGAAAGTGGGTTTGTAGGCAGCTCAGAAGATTTTGCTGGTAAGGTGTGTTGGTGTGAGCAGTTGGGTGCCTGAGGCAAGAGAACTGTTAGTTCCTGGTGGACTGGTTTATGTAACTTTCTCAAGACATAAAATAGAAGGGGTTAGAGCTGAGGTTGTAGCTCAGTGGTAGAATGCTTGCTTACCTTGGATGCTGTTTAAAATGCAAAAGGAAATTATTTGTTTTATTTTTTGAGACAGGGTCTCTTTACATAGCCCTAACTGTCCTAAAACTTACAGAGTTCCTCATATCTTTCTAGTGTGGGCAATCTAGGCATGGGGTGATGCACTGGGGAGGTTGAGGCAGGAGGATCTCCTAGTTTGAGACCAGCCTGGTTTACAGAGTGAGTTCCAAGACAGCCAGGATCTACTCTGTCTCAAAATCCAAACAAAAAGACAAAACCTGGAGAGATGGCTCAGCAGTTAAGAGCACCAGCTGCCCTTCCATAGGTCCTGAGTTCTATTCTCAGCAACCACATGGTATTGCACTACCATCTATAGTGGGATCTGATGCCCTCTTCCTCCTGCAGGCATGCATGCAGGCAGACCGATCATACATATGCATATATTATATATTACATAAATAAATCAATTTTTTAAAAATAGGGTTTCTCTGTGTAGCCCTAGCTGTCCTTGAACTTAATCTGTAGACCAGGCTGGCCTTGAACTCAGAGATCCATCTGACTCTGCCTCCTCAGTGCTGGGATTAAACGTGTGCTCCACGACCTGGCTGATTTCCTTCCCCCCCACATAAAAAAGGGCACGTGCCACACATTCCCCTAGCACAGGGTAATTTTTTTGTTTCTGTTTCTGTTTTTGTTTTTGGAGACAGGGTTTCTCTGTGCAGCAGCCCTGGCTGTCCTAGAACTAGTTATGGTAACTCAGTTTTCCGCATGCTTTCTTGCTCGCCTTCCTTTTTCTCCCGCACCCTGCCTTTTGGAGTAGGATCTATGGCAAATGTGGAGTTATTTAAATTTATAAGTGGTTTTCTCATGTGTGAATTGGTTGTTGTAGCATCATAAATATTAATTTAAAAAATTTGGGCTGTCAAGATAGTGAATAAAGAGGCTTGCCACCAAGCCTGATGCCCTGAGTTTGATTCCCCAGGACCCACATAACAGAGACTTGCTGTCTTTCCCACAAGTGTCATGCCTCCCACAAAACATATGTAATAAAAAATTTGGAGGAAGATTGAAGTCTCTTTAAAAAGAAGCAGGTTGTCTAAATGAACGTTAATCATTGGACCTCATTGGACCTTCAGTCATCTGTGGGTTCATCTGGGTGCTAATGTTGCTAATGGCATGTCCCTTATTGTTTTTTTTTTTTTTTTTTTTTTTCGCTGAAGGATAATACTTCAGAAACCACACATACTGTAGGCATACAACTTGAGTTTGTTTTGGTTTTTTTGAGGCACGGTTTCTCGGTGTAACTTTGCACTCTGTCCTGGAACTCATTTTGTAGACCAGGCTGGCTTTGAACTCCGAGAGATCTGCCTCTAGGCCACCGCCCGATTTGCTTTTGTTTTTAAAAAGGTTCTCACTGTGTAGCTTTGACTGACCTGGAACTGGCTATGTAGACTAGGCTAGCCTCTGTCCCCATTGTGCTGGGCTTTCTTGAAACTAAACACCTATGCTACGTACACTAAGGTCATGAAGCCGAATACTGCTTGTATCTTAGAAATCTCCCTGAGGCAAGCAGCATTTCATTCCCCTGGGTTGTGTTTTTGGACTCAGTAGGTAAAGGAATTTGCTGAGCAGAGCAAACCTAACCACCAGTTACCTGATTTCAGTATCCAGAACTCATATGAGGGTGCTGGGAAAACCGGCTCCCGAGTTGTCTTTTGACCTCCACATGGGTGAGACATCTGTTCCCACCATGCATACATGCAATAATAATAAATAAAGATTAAACAAGACCCCATGTGTTTTAGAATTGAGTTTGTACTGGTTTTAGCTATAAAACAATTTAAGTCCTTTTAAACTTTAATACTGGCTTCTTAGTTTGCCTGTTTCACCATATTTGTTACAGATAGCCTTTAACTGGAAATGAAACATCCATTTTAAAAAATGGTGTAGCTGGACGGTGGTGGTGCACACTTTTAATCTTAGCACTCGGGAGGCAGAGACAGGCAGATCTGAGTTCGAGGCCAGTCTAGTCTACAGAGTGAGTTCTGGGACAGGCTCCAAAGCTACAGAGAACTCCCCCTCGAAAAACCAAAACAAACAAATTAACGTATGTGCAGAATATCTAACCTTTGCATTTCTTTTCCCTTACAGACCGCCAAATCCCATCGAGTTTCTAGCATCTTATCTTTTAAAAAATAAGGCACAGTTTGAAGACCGAAATTGATTACTTGGGAAGAAAAGAAACATTTGGTTGCTACTGTAGATTTACATGATTACGAGGCAGCTTTAATTGCCATGATTCCCCTCCCCACTCTGGAACCTTCCGGACCACAGAACTCACTTCTGGAGTTGCAGAAGAGAACATATCCTCTGTCTGATTTAATCACCATACTTATTTAATGAGTATCATCTGTGCAATTTTTTTCTCAGATGGTCTTTTACTTTGTTTTTAAAAGACCTTCAAAATAAACTGTTAAAACACCATTAATTCATAGTTTTTATGTTTGTTTCCATGAACTGTTTGTAGTTTTGAATGTGATACTTTGTAGTAATCATATAGTAGCCACCACATTTGCAATATTTTACTTAAATGACCTCTGGAATTGAACTCTGTAGAGGAGCTTTTTTCCACTTTGCAGGGAAGCATGGGGAGGTTAAAAGCCTGCTTAAGACAACACTGCTGGTAAGTGCTTACATGGGCGTGCAGCGCAGTCCCACCAATGTTCTCGTTCTTCAACTCCTTAGTCTTGTTGCATCTCTGCAAAACAGTAGGGGGCTGAAGAGGTGACATCTTAGGGTATTTATCTTTCAGAGGACCCACATTTGATTCCTGGCACCCACACAGTGGCTCACAGTGGTCTAACTTAGTTTCAGGGATCTGACCCTCTCTTCTGACGAGGCACACACAAGATGCACTTATATACATTCAGGCAAAACATTTATACATATAAAATTAAAAAGAAATAACGTAGTATTTTTGTATTTTGTGTGTATTCCTATTGTCCCCCATGAAGAAGTTGAGATAAAGTAGTGTGATGAAAGCTAGGGGGCACAATTACTAGAACTCTTGTTCTCAAATGGGAGGCAAGTTTCCTCCTTCGGTTATGTATGGGCAGTGAGTGAGGTGGGATTCTTCTGACAGGGTAGAGCCCAGGATATTACGAATCTCAGGAGGTTCAGGACAGTCCATGTGCCCATCTCTCCCTCTTAGTCACCCAGTTCAAACTAAGAGTGGTATTAAAGTTGAGAAGCCCTGCACTGGGAGCATATTAATCTTGTCTTTAGGTTAAGAGCCTGTGCAAAGGTGATGTTAATCAGGTAATGTTAATCAGATGCCTTCTGTAATTCCCCTTAATGGCCATGCGCTGTGGTGCATAATTTTAATCCCAATACTGGGAGGCAGAGGCAGGTGGATCTTAAGAGTTCAAGGCTAGCCGGGCGGTGGTGGCGCACGCCTTTAATCCCAGCACTCGGGAGGCAGAGGCAGGCGGATCTCTGTGAGTTCGAGACCAGCCTGGTCTACAAGAGCTAGTTCCAGGACAGGCTCCAAAACCACAGAGAAACCCTGTCTCGAAAAACCAAAAAAAAAAAAAAAAAAAAAAAAAAGAGTTCAAGGCTAACTAGAGCTACATTAATAATTTATTCATTGTTTCCTTTTTGAGGTAAGGGCTCTACATAGCTTTGGCTGTCCTGGAACTCAGATCCTTCTGCTTCTGCTCCTAGAGTGCTGGGATTAAAGAATTTAATTATGCCAGGTGGTGCTGACTCATGCTTTTAATCCTAGCACTCAGGAGGCAGACGCAGGTCGATCTCTGTGAGTTTGAGGCCAGCCTGGTCTACAAAGTGAGTTCCAGGACAAGGCTCCAAAGCTACACAGAGAAACCCTGTCTCGAAAAAACAAAAATAGAAAAAAAAAGTGTATGGGGTATATAGGAGATCCTGTCCCAAAACAGTTGTGGCATCTGGCTGCCCATCTCTCCCTCTAAAGGCAGAGAGAGGACAGCTATGTTTACACTGGGTGTTCTATCCAGGCCAGTCAAGGCTACAAAGTGAAGCATTCTAGAGATCTTTAAAAACAGATTTAATTGTGTATTTGTGTGGGGGTATGTGCACGTAATTGTAGGTGCCTTTGGCGGCCAGAAGAGGGCGTCAAGTCCCCTGGAACTGGACTAAGGGATGTTTGGGAGCTGTCCAATGTCTGCACTGTGAGTCAATTTAGGTCCTCTGCAAGAGCTGCACGTGTTTTAACCTTGGAGCCATTTCTTCAGCCCAAGAGCTTGTATTTTATTCCTTAGTGTGGTCTTTGCTACGTTTGCTAAGTAACACAAGCTCTTGGGAGAAAGAAGCAATCTACCATTTTTCTTGTCATTGAAATTTATTACAGAGCTTTCCTCATGACAACACCTGAGAACCTGGCGAAAAAACCCAACCAAATAAAACTCTTTTCTTAGGGTATTAAGTAACACCGTATTTGGGTATTGAGTAGCTAGTTTCATGTGAAACTATGATATACCCATACCCGTTGTATGATTTTGGTCCCAAATACTTTCTGGGAAATGGGCAACTGTTACACATCCTAGTTTGGGAATCCTGCACTTCAAACCAAACCCACTTTCTTTGTGATTCTACCCAACTTGTAAAGGGATCCTTTGCTGCCGACACATACGTGGAATACCGGGATTTAATAAGTGAAGGGGTGACATTTGTAGTGTGCCTTACCCGAGTGTCAACCCCCAGCCCCATTTCACCCAGTAGGAAATAACTGAGACGATCTTTGCCACACTGCAGTTACAGCTAAGATACAATTAGTACATATAACTCTGCCAAAGGTACTATTAGGTGGTAGGGACGAGCCTGGGAAGCGAAGGCTGCATTTTTACAGCTCCCCTACTCCCCCCGGGTCCGCTTCGCCGCACTTCGGTCTCAACAAATGAAACTTCACGGTGCGGCCCCAGACTTGCATTCCTGGGCGACATTCCGAGGGTGGGAATCCACCAAGGACGCAGTGGCAGGGGGAACCCCGGCCGGACTTGGCGGGCAGCAACCGCGTGCGTGCGTGCGTGTGTGTGTGCTGAACCGGCGGCGCGCGGGGACAAGTCAGGCGACTCGGGGGTGGGGGGTGGGGAGGGAAGGGGCTCTCCCCGCCTCGCGGCTGCGTCCTGCGCCCCGCGCCCTGCCCCCAGCCTCTGCTGGTGCTAAACCCCGGAGAGCGGAGCGTGCACGCTGAGCCTCCTCGGCGGGCCCGGCCGCGGCGCTGGGCATGCTCAGTGGGCCGGACCCGGTAGCGCGGAGAGTAAGGACGCCTGGGCTTCCCGGGTTCAGGGCCCGACCCCGGGCCGTACGGGGGAGGGGGAGGGGCTAGCACCGATCGCCGCCACCTGGCCTGAGGCCGTCCGACCCCGGATGGCTCGGAGCCCGGCCCGCTTCCGCCGTTGAGCGCGCCGCACGGCGGGCGGAGGCGCGGGGCGGGGCCGGCGGGCGCGCGGCAGGAGGGAGGCCTGGCGGTGGGGGCGGGGCGGGTGGGGGGAGGGCGCGGAGTCACGGGGGTGGGGTCAGCGGGAGGCTCGGCAGGCCGCGCGCGGCGGGGCCGGGGGCGGCTCGCGGAAGCAGCCCTGTCAGGGCAGCGGCGGCGATTCCGCGGCTGCCGCGAGGCTCGGGCGAATCCACCGTGGGCCCCATCTTCCGGCGGCCGGCGGAGTTTGTGGTGATTGTTACCGCCGCCAGCCCCGGCTGCCATCTCCTCCTCTTCCTCCTCCTCCTCCTCCTCCTCCTGGGCCGGGCCGGTCCCCTCCCCGCGGCCGCCTCCTCCTGGGCTGGGCCCGCGGCGTCTCGTCCCCTCGCGGAGCCGCCGCCGCCGCTGCCGCCGCCGCCTCCTCCTCATTCATCCTCGTGCACCATAGGCGGCACAGGCACCAAGATGTCCAACCGAGTGGTCTGCCGGGAAGCCAGCCACGCCGGGAGCTGGTACACCGCCTCAGGTAGGGAGCCAGGCCGCCCGGCGGTCGAGCTGGGCAGCTGGGGCCCGGCGGGCGGGGACGCGGGCGGAGGGCGGCGAGCGCTGACCGCGTGCGGAGGGAACGGGCCGGGCCGTGTCGCCTCCCCCACCCGGCGCTCGGGCGGGCCGCCTGGCGCCCGCGGAGTTGGGCGAGTAGTTGCCGGCCGGGCCGGACCGCGACGAGCGCGGGCTGCTGGGCTCCCAGCCTCGCGGACGGCCGCTGCCGCGGGGAAGGACGAGCCGGCGCGGTCCCTGGGTTGGGGACTGGCCGAGAGGACCGAAGGCTTTGCCCTCACCTTCGGGGCACCCCGCGCCCCTGGAAGGAGTGACAAGCCGTACTTTTCTCCCCCACCGCATGTTGCCACGCTAGGTCTCGCTTGGAAGATCTGTCAGCCGAGGGCCTCTCGGGGATTTGTCGCTTTGTATGTGGAGGCTCGGGCAGAGGTGCTGCCAGGCAAGGGGCTCTGGGTGGCCTCCTAGCTCTTTTGTCAGTGTTTGCATTGTTACTGTCATCCAGGGGCAGCTGGAGATGGATCAGCACTTTTCCCGAGCAACCCTCTTCAGTACCCAGCGCTCAGCACCGAGTGCTGGACTACCTGTCCAGTTAGCTTAGATTTTGAGAGAATTCTCCCTAAGTCTTGGCTGCAGCCTCTTAACAACCACCAGGTGCAGTTCTTTAGGTAAGAAAGGCTAGGGCCGTTTCCCATTAGTACAACTCTAGTGACAAGGATTGCTTTTTGAGATTATTTTTAGGGGTCACATTTCTGGTATGGTAACAAAGAAAAGTTCCTCCATGATTCCTGCCGGTCTCTAGTCTAGCTAGGTTTATCAACAACCGGCTCTGAACTTTGTTTTCCTTTGCTAGTACTAGGGTTGGATAGCGACACGAGGTTTTTTTTTTTTTTTTTTTTTTTTTTGGAAAGTAGTTATTTGTCTTCTCTGAGACAGTTCGACCAGCTCCTGAAGTACATGCCCCCTTCTAAGACACAAAAGAATTATGGTTGAGTTTGGAACTGCTGCTAACAGGTAGCTGCAGTTTTTGCATTAAGTATGACCTTTTATGCCTACAGCGTGGTTCCCTTCGTGCTCCTGAAGTACTTCAGACACTTGGAATCAGTTCTCACAACCTGAAAATGTCAGTTAAGCTGTTCTTGTGTCAGTGTATGGGGAAACAGAGACATTTAGTGCTGCACCCAAGACTAGGCCAGTGGTGAAATAGGAATCAAGCAGGATTTCTGGCTCCTTCCCGAGTCTGTCCCTTTTAAATCCAGGCACTATTGGCTGGACCACGCCCTTAATCCCGGCACTGGGGAGGCAGAGGCGGGTGAATCTCTTGTGCATTCAAGGTCTACAAAGCTAGTTCCAGAACAGCCAAGGATACAGAGGAACCCTGTCTTGAAAAACAAAAACCAAACAAACAAAAAGAAAACAAAACAAACCCAAAAAACAAAAAAACATCCAAAACCAAATTAATATTATTCTTTATTAA